CTGATAGACTGAACAATGCCATGGAATTTAAAGGCTTATTTAAAGTTAATGAAGGCAGTTACAAAAAATAAAATTTGCTAATATACTTGTAAAAATACTGTTTCGTCTAGAAAAGGTTGATATTTGCATTTCTCGTCTTGAAGTTTTATTTCTATCCGAAAATATCGTTAGCTAGGGTACTCGACTTATGAAACAAGGTAGCTTAAACTTTAAGTACAAGCGTAAGAAAGGTATATTTAATTGGATATGCTGATGGCCAGGTTGATTTTTAGTTTCGTTCTACGTACATAACTTGCTCTGATCAGAAGTTAGTTATTTACACCTAACCATTTTCAACAGAAATTGTGTGCGTGTGAATTATTTTTATCGTCATATAGTCTAACTTTCATCAAACAAACAAAACTCCTTCCCCCCCCCCTTCTCCATAATCATACCTGTGACGACACATCCATAGGTAAAACATATCTTCGGACTTGACAACGAGTCAGCTCGGCGAGATGGTAAGGGTCTTCTTTTATTTTACCTAGTTCAGCCACGCATAACCCCTTGACCACCTCGCCATCGTTGTAACAGCACATATCTACCACCAAGTGACCAGAATCCTCGTAGGCGTTTATGTGGTGGAACACCAGAAAGGGAGACGTCGTGTAAATTACTGGCAGTCGTTCTCCAGTTTGCTTGTTGATAATGTGGAAATATACCTGTCAAAACGTGTAAAATTTAATTATATTACGAGTAAGATTAGTTTTAAAATGAATCTGTTAACATTTCGAAAGAAGTATTATATTTTACACCTGTGATATGAGACGGTTCTGCACCATGACCAACTACTGAAAGGAGTTTTAAATAATATTAACTTTCATCTATGATAACAAAAGGAGCGTGGCCCCTTACCAACAATATTAGGTTATACTTTTATTGCCAAGCAACATGATATAAAGGCTATGATTGGAACGTAGTTACCGAAACGCCTTGGCATCTATATATTAGAAGTTGTTATATAAGGAACCATTTCTTTTCTGTGTTTTTAGCTAGTTTGCCTCATTAAAAAGATGCGCACGCACGTGGATAAGGTAAGTAATAATACCCAGGTGCAGACTCTCAGGGTACATTTCGTATGGGTGCAAAATTTCAGGTTTCTAGGTTCTTTCCTCTTGGGGTTATGGCGGTCACACACACACACTTGTACTCCGATTTTAAATTTTAATGAAAACAATCTGCTTTAATTAATGGAGCCTAAGTTATAAATCAGAAAATAATATTTTCAATTTTATACATTTCATTTCAGAGGGAAGGTTACCTTTATAAACAAACCACATCCCGTAAAGGAGGAACAAAAGTATATAAGTTACACTTACATTAAAATGGGTTCAGAATACACGCACTAACAGTCATTTAGAATAATTCAACTTAACACCCAGCAAAGCTGGGTACTTTTGCTAGTTAGGTAGTGAAGATATTGCCAGATGCGAGTTTTTTTTTTTGTTTTTTTAACCCACTGTATAAATGACCTATATTACAAGAAAGTTTAATGTTCTGCTTTCAACTCAAAAACGCACATTACAGTGGAAATTATATTAATGGTTATAATACTTAAAATACCCTTAAATATTACTTACTATCGGTAATTTTACACTTACAAAGAACATTCTAAATTGACAGTTTAGAATGTCTATTTGGGATTCACATTGTAAGATAATATTTGGATTACGGTCGAAAACATCGTTAGTAGCAAGGGTTCCCAACCGCCCATTCAATGCCTACTCATTATACATTTTAAGTTTTGTGTATCGATGCATGAGTATGTCGGGTTTGCCTGTTAGACAAACGTAGTTTCTTTGATTTATAAGTTACACTTGCTGGTTTTTATCTTTGTGCTCGGCAGCTGGTTATAGAACTCAACTTATTAATAATGATGAAATCCAAGAGAGGTTGTGTTCGACTCAAATCAAACAAACATCTCTTAATTCATGACACTTAACTCTGAGCAACTGTTGCATTTTTAACTTAATTTTTAGTAATAGTAAAATGTGTTATTTTTACCTTTAGTTTTGGGTTCCACTCTAAGGCATCAATGTAAGCATCTCCTTTGATGTGAAGCCACAACAGGTGGCGAATTGACACAAAAAATGGTTGTTCAACGAATACCAGGTAGTTCTCGGTCATACCAAAACTGTGATAGTAACTGGGCTTGAAGCGGTACCTGGCGGGTATCGAACACACTATTGAAGCTGTTTCGAAAGGATTCACGTTCACGTCTGAGAAGATAAAATAACGAACCCAAAATGAAATGTTATGTTTTCAAAGTGAAATGTTTATGCACATTTCTTTACTATAAAAAAAAATGTGTACATTAAGGCCACACGCCCAACTCTTCTATACTTTTCATACGATTTTACTTGTGTGTGTTTACTGGATCCCGCATATTACAGGTATTAAACTACTGAGCATCCCTTGGTACGTACGATTACAAATTCAAATGCTTTGAAATTCTGTGTGTGTGTGTATATATGTAAGTGCAATTAATTAAACTTGTTAACATCCGTACAAACAGTCTTCAAATATTTCTGTAAATAATGTACACTTCTGTCAATGCAGTCTGTTCTAAAATCCCAGTAAAAATGGCGAAATTACATTTTTATGGGGAGTTATTTACATTGAGGGGAGATTTTTCTTGTGTTTATCAATTGAAATCTGTTATCCTACTACACCTGCAAGGCCAGTGACAGTCGAGACATTTGGCTGTAACTACTTTTTTTTTTGAGTACATTTTGGGACTTTTTTGAATTGAGGTGAGTTATTAGTATTTCATCTCTTATGTTAATGACAATCAAGAAACCCGAACTAAGTAAGTTTATTATATGAATAAGGCTGCACTAGTAACATGGTTAGTTTTGAAACTCTGTCCACTTGTTTTGGACGGAGCTAATAAGTTATTGATGAAATTCTACTTACTTAAGTGTCATGTGATGAACCACAGCTTCTAAACACTAAAATGACTGTTTGCGTTTTCTACATTGAAGTTAGGAGAATCTCAAACTTCTCTGTTATGATGAATGTGTGTTTCTTCATGTAAAAACAACACTCGAGCACTACAATATTATTCTCCACTTAAGTTGTCCTAAACGTAGTACTGAAACAGTGTTTTCATTTTGCGTTTTTTTATGTCGGGAGTCAAACTAAAAAAAAACCAAAAAAGAACCTCCTCGCCAGTATAAACACTGCTCCCAAATACTATAACAATGTTCGTTGTCTGCGCTGTCCAACGAACCCATCACAAGAACAGCACCCAAACACTAACAATGTTCGTTGTTAGTGTTTTCCACCAAACCTGAAGCACCATAGCAACGTTAATTGTTTGCGTTGTCCACCCAACCCCGCACAAGTACAGCACTCAAACATTGTACCAGTGTTCTACTGTTGGTGATTTAAAAATAATTAAAAAAAAACTCTTAGCATAGTACACAATTTGTTGACAAATCGATTTCGTCTAATGGCATGTGAATTAAATCTGTCATTTCAAATTAAGCCAATTTGTCACGTTTGATTACGGCTAATATGACTTAAAACAAATCGGCCATCCCAAAATAAGCCAGTCATATAAAGAAAATTTGTCACGTTCATTTACGCCTAATATGATGTGAAACAAATTAGTTATTTCAAAATAAGTTATTTTGTCACGTTTGGTTAAGGCTAATACATGTGAATTAATCGGTCATTTCAGGCTAAGTTGTCGCGTTGTATTAACCTAAATCAAATATGCGAAATTAATTGTTCAAAACTAACATATCACGTTTAGATTATGATGGATATGTATGTTTGGGGAAAAAAAATGTTCGATTAACGGTCAGTTATTTCTGTAATATAACTTTGACCATTAATTTTTTTTAAACAGATTTTGAAATAAAGATTTCAACATTATCAATCGCCTAACATTGAATTATGTCTGATAGCTGCGAGTCTTAGTTTACTAGCTCGTTTACTCGCGCAAGGAGCTCTATTTGCCTCGCTATCTTAAGGTGGAGGTCGAAACGGTGTCAATGTGCGTTATTCTTAAGCAGTAAGGCAGTAGCAAGAGGGAAAATGGAAACGTCATGCTCGTGATAATTAATAAAATAAATGGTTTTAGAATTCCTCTAGGTATACCCAAGACCATTTGAAAGGTTAAGTGATCAAAGATTGTGAATTGAAAAATTTTAGTCACGGACAGACACAAGCAGTTTTGTAGCCTAAATTACACCTAGTGGTCAGGGCACGCGACTAGCTACCTAGGTTCGAATCCTGTCACCGAAAATGCTCGCCCTTTCAGATGCGGGAGCGTCATAATGTGATTGTCAATATCACTATTCGTTGGTAAAGAATACCCCATGAATTGGCGGTGGGTGATGTTTACTAGATGCTTTACCTCTAGTGTATCACTTCAAAATTAGGAACAGCTAGCGCAAATAGCCATAAGTTTTGCGCGAAATTCAAAAGAAATAAACAATTATAGACTACCTGAGGCGGGTGATGTTTTCACAATATTATACGTTGGTCCACATAAGCTGAATCCGCTTCCCATGTTGTAATAGGTTCCATCTCTGTCGAAGTGGGGATGTGCCGTCGCTGTGTTTATAGCAAGGTACTTGCTTAGGTCAACCTTGAATCATAACATATTCCAAACCAAATGAAATGTATCTTTTCAAATAGACTTTAATTTAAATTTGTATATAAACTTTAAACTTCAAAGATACATTAATACGATACTTATTATTATAATACGCACAAACTAACTTTAATTTATACACATTAATGCAAATAATTCCTATCGGCATCATTTGTTATTATAACGATGACGTCAGTCTTTATGATAGTTCATAAGCTCTGAAGATCTCGCTGTTGGTGTTGCTAAATCTCTTCTATCGACTTAGAAGCTCCAAAATACTATTCTGAAAATTATTCTACATATAACTAACATTATCCACGGCAGAAGTGTCTCTAGGTATTTAAAATATTCGGGGCTCGAGCCCATAGGTTTCCTACTCTGATTTTTCAAGACACCAACTATGTATTCGGGGCACGGGCCCAGTGTCCAGGTCCTAGCGATACCCGTGATCCACATACCTGAATTAATGTATAATTAAAGCTGGACATGCAGATTTGTTAAAATATATAACATAAATCGATAACAATGAAGTACTTTTGGTATTATCGAAATTAATATTTTTCTCACTCTGTCCATAGTTTCCAGTTTTTCAGGGTCTACTCTGTGTATGAAATTCGTTTCTGAGCACACATAAAACTGGTCTCCTAGTTGGATGATGTTGAGAAGATCGTTGTCGGTGAAATCTTCTATAATAAATTTAGACATAAATCTAAAAATAAAAGAAAAGATGTCAGTTTTGTGTAAAAACGGAATAAAAGATAAGCAAGTCAGATCAACTAAGATAAAGGATAATTTCGAAAACAACGCTGAACGATTATCATGTATTTAATACTTTGAAAGCGTGGTTTCCGTTGGTGGAATACAGTTAAACTATAAAAATAAAAAATTATGATATTAATTCTTATACTGGCCTTTGAAAGATAGTTTTACATGGATCAGGAAAACCCCTGGTGCCAAACTCCGTTACTACAATACGGTTCGCACTCATGTTGCGTTTGTACGCGTTGCTGTGCAAAAATCGGTTCATATATGTTACGTGTCCATCTCTTACACGGAATCTATGCATTAGAGCCATGCTGTCAAAAGCGTGGTTGAACTTGTCGGTGCCAATTTCCAAAAGACCTCCACCATTCCTGAGTAGACTACCTCGTAGCCATCTGGGGATTTCACCTGTAAATAAATATATTGAATAAGTTGTGCATCTCTTTCTAGCAATTTATAAAATTTCCAAACTTTTTTTTTTTATTTCGCTACTAACTGATAAGAAATCTTAAACAACTACCAAAGAATTACTTCTAAGCTTAGTCTTAACGAAATATTTGGGCTCATGTAGATCAGATAATTCTAAAATAATGCACAAAGCTACACAATGGGCTGTCTGTGCTGTGCCCACCACGAGAATCGAAAACTAGTTGTTAGCGTTATACATCTGCAGATTTTACACTGACTATGGTTTTGATAATATACGCCAATTTTAAACTCGAACATCTAAAATCTGCCCCCCCCACACCACACA